TCTACCACTACCAACTCTAGAAACGGGTAATATTTTTTTTTTTTGTATTCGGCAAAAAAAATTTTTTTGTTTGTTTGGGCGCCTTGTGTGTTTGTGTTTGTGTGTGTGTGTGTGTGACAGGATAAAATGAAAGTTTCCATCAAACTAACAAAACCTACCAGTGAAACGACGACGATTCTAATATTCAAACCTGCAAAACACATAAATATTACAACATAACAGCAATTTTTTTTGCTGCGACAAGACTTTTTTTCAATTTCACAAAAAAAATAGGAATCTACAGGACAGGGATTCAAAAGATTGATATTATTGATATCAAAAACTAAAACTGAAAAATCATCTAAATTTCTGACAAACAGAACAACTTTTTTGTTGGACTCGTCCATCGTTTATTGTTTTCTAGTTTGGTGTTTGTGTTTTTGAAGTATCAATCATCAAAATAAAAACATGGTGAATAAAAGATAAACATTTTATTATTATCAGTTAAAACAAAACAAAGCGAAAAGTTTCTTTGAATATGAAATCATCCAGGTTTTTCTTTTGATTGAAAATCCTAAATCAACATCGATAGGTAAGTAGTTTTTCTCATTTCAACACAAACAAACTTAGAAAAAAAAAGAGAAAAACATTGACTATACCCAGAATTCTTGATTGCTGCTTGTTGAAATGATCGAAAATTGATCCAGTAACATTGTTTTTCAACATCATTATATTCTAGCAATAAACACTTTTTTTCCTTTATTTATATTTACCTAAATAACTTTTCATTTGGTAATTATGAAAAGAAACAAAAAACTTTCCGGTAAAAAACTTTCCAGAAAAGTTTCTACGTTTATACTTTACAAAAGAAAAAACATTTTTTTTTTCATTTCGCAGAAATTATGAAAAGATTTACGCTGATAATATAATATGCACCTAATTTTTTTTTTAATAAACACTATTTAAAAAAACACAGATGCTATTTACTTTTGGTTAATGAAAAAAACTTTGAAAAAATATTTTCAAATAAAATCCGTTTCTATATTGAGGAAAAAAACTGGCAAAAAGAAAATTATATTGAAAGTTTATTTTTCCGGGAAAAAAAATCCAATTGAATTCCTTCTTCTAATAATAATAATTTATATTGACAACAAACACCATCTGTGTGTGTTTGTTTGTGTTCATCGGTTCCAAGA